GAAAATCCCTTAAATCCAAATAATGTATGACAAAAAAGGTGAAAAACTAAAAACTAAACATGTTTGTAAGAAATAATGGGGAAAAAAGATCATGTACATGTACATTATCCTCTACTTTATATGGCCAAAAAGGTAAAACATAAAGTTACGTTGTTTATGGGCAAAAAAGAAAAAAAAACATTAAGTTATGTTTAGATAGACCTGCAAAATAAATTAATGCTACATTATTATTTAAGTCATAATTATTTTGTTTTTCATCCATACGAGGGTGGATTGACACAACTATGCAAATAGGATAAGATAGGGGCAACACGAGCTCTTTTAAAAGGTGTCAACTAGCGAACAAGCGATTTGAACCTTGTTCTACACGACCCGATCAAATCGAACAAACACTTGCCCTCTACTTTTATTGTACACTGATAATCCAATTAAAATTTCCATTACATTTAAAATAGCTTTTAGAAACACGTGCATGTAGCACGTGCATATTTACGAGTATATAGTAACGTGCAAGTTACTGTTATACAAAAACTTCGAGTTATTAATTACGACCGGGGATTAAGCCGGGGATCCACGCATATACGTGTCGATCAAAATTAAATTTGCATAAAAACGACCGGCCGGGACGATCACACACGTACGTACGTCGTACGACTGCATTCTCATCGAAACTTGACGTGACAAGCAACGTCTTTTGCGGCTATATATATATATCTCTCGACTCTCACATGCATCACACCTAGCGCCCAGCTGTGTACGACTGTACGTACGTAGGAGTACGTATATACGGACCCGTCGTCGTCGTAGCGCGCACTCCATTCGATCCATTAAGTGGTCACGTACGTACTGTTCATTAAGCTGTAATCCAACTCGCTCTGCCTGTTGCATACATAAATAGCAGCTCTCTACCCCTTCTTTTCCATCAAAACAAAAACCTAAAGTTTCCTTACGCCCTTAACAACCTACTCCAGCTACTACAGCTCTAACTCACGTGCAGTGTAGTATACACAGCTAACTGTGCCAGCTTCAGCTAGCTACAAAAAGCATCGTCACGAGAAACATGGCTCTGATGAAGAAGCTCAAGCTCCCCGCCCTTCTCCTCGGCGCCTGCTTCGCCGTCGTCGGCCTCCTCATGATCGCCGCCCCTGCAGTGCTCGCCGGCGACCCCGACATGCTCCAGGACATCTGCGTCGCCGACTACAAATCCCTCAAGGGGCGTAAGTGACCACCCCATGCATGCATTGCTAGAATTTTCCTTTATTGATCATCTGATGATCTCTCGCTGTCTCGCATATATGTACATACAGCGCTGCGTGTGAACGGGTTTCCGTGCAAGCCGGAGGCGAACGTGACGGCGGACGACTTCTTCTTCGGCGGTCTAGCAACGGCGGCGGACGTGTACACGGGCAACCCGACGGGGTCGGCGGTGACGGCGGCGGACGTGTCGGCGGTCCCCGGGCTCAACACGCTGCGCGTATCGATGGCGCGCACCGACTACGCGCCGTGGGGCGGCGTGTCGCGCACCCGCGCGCCACGGAGATCCTCTTCGTCGCTGAGGGCACCCTGGAGGTGAGCTTCGTGGCCACCGCCGCGGGCGCGGGGGGCGGCGGGCGGCTCTTCACCCGCACCGTGAACAGGGGCGAGGTGTTTGTCTTCCCGCGCGGCCTCCTGCACTTCCAGCGCAGCGTCGGCGCTGCGCCCGCCGTGGCGATCTCCGCGTTCGACAGCCAGATGCCCGGCACGCAGGCGGCCGCCGCCGCGCTGTTCGGCGCCGCGCCACCGCTGCCCACCGACGTGCTGGCGCGGGCGTTCCAGACTGACGCCGGGGTCGTGGACGGCATCAAGTCCAACTTCTCCCCGCCCAAGTAGGGCACACGTACAGTGCTAGTACATACATGCATGGCTCCAATTAGTAATCATTGCAACGAGTGATGATGATTACATTGTTGCAAGGACACGTACGTGTGGTTACCTTACCCGACGTGCTAAATCTGATGTCGCTTTTTTATCTGGTTTGCTTTCCCTTTATTTGGTGTACGGTGTGCTTGGACAGCTTTGGTACTCCATCATATAATGTGTATGTAACTCCCTTCTATTTGTAAATCAACAAAACCTTTCACTTGTCTTCAATTGGATGTGGGGTTGCAATTCACAACCTCGACTTGTATCATATCTTCTCTCGTCGAACTAGCTTCCACTATGTAAAAAAACAAATAGCAGACACCCGCTCTTAGTGATGCGAAATCAAAATCGATGCGCATCTGTGATATGTGATCATAGACACGTGTAGCCAAAACACGTCTCTGATATGTTGGCTCCTAGAAAATAGGCCTTTGAAAGACATATATCACGGACACAGATTAAGAAAACACGTCTATGATGTGTCGCTAAAAGTCTGAAATGCGTCTGTAGTATAGGTTACTTACCTTTAGACGCGTAAACCAAATCCGCGTCCTTGGCTCAACACCATGGACCCGGAAAAATAGTTCACTCCAACCAATTCTTGTGTACCCTAGGCTCTACTCAAATTAGCCTCATGGCTATTTCAAGTGTATGTTGAGATTCTTCTAGATCAATATTACTACCTAGTTCGCATGATTTTCCATAATATGTGTGTCGGTGACGGTACCAAGATATGCCTTCCTGTCACTAATATATGGCGTCAAGAACACTCTTAACATTATTTGTTAGTGAGTAGAGTCCTTGCAAAAAACAAATGTGTCAGTGACTAATGGGAGTATATGGACATTGTCTGCTGCAGATCCTTGCATTTCTTATCCAATTAACTCATCCGTGATCGATGATCAATCCGGTAATTTTGACCTTGATGACACCGTGTGAAATTTGAGACGTGCCAACTGCAGACGTCCGTGGGATTAAAAAAAAAACTGCAGACGTCCGTGGAATGGAACTCGTTCCGTACCCGTGTGCCGTAAACCGTCGTTCGTGGCCCACGTAATTCGAAAACGGCCCACAGTTAGCTGCCGCCCCAAAATAAAAAAGGATTTGATTCGATCGAAGCCCATAGTTCCGATCCCCACCCAGGTCAGATCCGATCCGTTAACCCCGGACTCCAGCAGTCCAGCCGACCCCGCACATCTCGCCCGTTACGCTTGAGGCTTGACCCCGCCCGTTCCCTTCCTCCTCGTCGCCGCCTCGCCTCCCCTCCCCTCTCCTCCTCGTCGTAATCTCCGCTCCAGTCCCCACCGCCCGGAAGCCGAGCCCGCCACCGCATTCCAGCGGGCTTCGAGGCCACGGCCAGCACCCACCTCGCTCCATGGTGGTGCAAGATACCTAACCCTACCTTATCCTCACCTCACAATGACCGCGGCGGCGGAGCGCCGAAAGCTCAGCGGCTACCTACGCGCCGTGGTGTCCGTCCCCGGCAGGGACGTCGCGGCGGCGGCGTCGATCCCGCCGCTGTCCCCGTGCACTCTATCCGCGTGCGGGGCCGTGGCCCTAGCGCCGCTCCCCGACGACGTGGGGACCCAGCCGCGGCGGCCCAGGTGGCGCGCGCCCGGCGTCGTGCGCCTGCTCAGGACGCTCGTGGCGAACCGCTGCGTGGAGGTGGAGGGCACGCTGCTGCGGGTCGTGACCAGGAGGGCCGGGGAAGGGAAAGGGGACGGCGCCGAGGTGGAGGCCAGGGCCGTCCTGCTGATCGACGTCTACCTGCCCGTCGCCGCGTGGTCCGGGTGGCAGTTCCCGCGCTCGCGCTCCGCTGCCGCCGCCGTCTTCAAGCATGTCAGGTGCGTCTCCTCCGTCTGTCTATCTGAGGGCGGGGCGTCATGTGCCCTGCATTGTGCACCCAAATTTTGGAGTTCTGACTGCGTAGGGGCTACTGATGTTTATATCATTTTTATTTACGGGGCTTATCAAGGTTACATGTCTCTTAAATTTAATTCTGGGTCCTTCGCGATTGTATTATATATGTTCCTTTCTGGGACTTTCTGTATAACGTAATTACTACTAGCCAAGTGCCTGTCGGTTGCAAAGGATTTACCGATCTAGAGTTGCGGGCATATGTGTTTTCAAAGCTTTTCAAAACAACTAACAGTTGAAATCTGGAGAGCTGGTCCTAGGAAATCTGAATAAATAAAATCGAACGAGCACTCGCCATCTACCTTTATTTGTACACTGATAATCTAATTAAAATTTCCATTGCATTTAAAATAGCTTTTAGAAACACGTGTGTGTCGCACGTGCATATTTGCTAGTATATAGTAACGTGCAAGTTACTGTTATACAAAAACTTCGAGTTATTAATTATGACCGGGGATTAAGCCGGGGATCCACGCATATACGTGTCAATCAAAATTAAATTTGCATAAAAACGACCGGCCGGGACGATCACACACGTACGTACGTCGTACGATTGCATTCTCATCGAAACTTGACGTGACAAGTAATATATCTCGACTCTCACATGCATCACACCTAGCGCCCAGCTGTGTACGACTGTACGTACGTAGGAGTACGTATATACGGACCCGTCGTCGTCGTCGCGCGCACTCCATTCGATCCATTAAGTGGTCACGTACGTACTGTTCATTAAGCTGTAATCCAACTCGCTCTGCCTGTTGCATACATAAATAGCAGCTCTCTACCCCTTCTTTTCCATCAAAACAAAAACCTAAAGTTTCCTTACGCCCTTAACAACCTACTCCAGCTACTACAGCTCACACTAACTCACGTGTAGTATACACAGCTAACTGTGCCAGCTTCAGCTAGCTACAAAAAGCATCGTCACGAGAAACATGGCTCTGATGAAGAAGCTCAAGCTCCCCGCCCTTCTCCTCGGCGCCTGCTTCGCCGTCGTCGGCCTCCTCGTGATCGCCGCCCCTGCAGTGCTCGCCGGCGACCCCGACATGCTCCAGGACATCTGCGTCGCCGACTACAAATCCCTCAAGGGGCGTAAGTGACCACCCCATGCACATGCATTGCTAGAATTTTCCTTTATTGATCATCTGATTTCTCGCTGTCTCGCATATCTGTACATACAGCGCTGCGTGTGAACGGGTTTCCGTGCAAGCCGGAGGCGAACGTGACGGCGGACGACTTCTTCTTCGGCGGTCTAGCAACGGCGGCGGACGTGTACACGGGCAACCCGACGGGGTCGGCGGTGACGGCGGCGGACGTGTCGGCGGTCCCCGGGCTCAACACGCTGCGCGTATCGATGGCGCGCACCGACTACGCGCCGTGGGGCGGCGTGTCCGCACCGCACGCGCACCCGCGCGCCACGGAGATCCTCTTCGTCGCTGAGGGCACCCTGGAGGTGGGCTTCGTGGCCACCGCCGCGGGCGCGGGGGGCGGCGGGCGGCTCTTCACCCGCACCGTGAACAAGGGTGAGGTGTTTGTCTTCCCGCGCGGCCTCCTGCACTTCCAGCGCAGCGTCGGCGCTGCGCCCGCCGTGGCGATCTCCGCGTTCGACAGCCAGATGCCCGGCACGCAGGCGGCGGCCGCCGCGCTGTTCGGCGCCGCGCCACCGCTGCCCACCGACGTGCTGGCGCGGGCGTTTCAGACTGACGCCGGGGTCGTGGACGGCATCAAGTCCAACTTCTCCCCGCCCAAGTAGGGCACACGTACAGTGGCTAGTACATACATGCATGGCTCCAATTAGTAATCATTGCAACGAGTGATGATGATTACATTGTTGCAAGGACACGTACGTGTGGTTACCTTACCCGACGTGCTAAATCTGATGACGCTTTTTTATCTGGTTTGCTTTCCCTTTATTTGGTGTACGGTGTGCTTGGACAGCTTTGGTACTCCATCATATAATGTGATGTAACTCCCTTCTATTTGTAAATCAACAAAATCTTTGACTTGTCTTCAATTGGATGTGGGGTTGCAATTCACAACCTCGACTTGTATCATATCTTCTCTCGTCGAGCTAGCTTCCACTATGTAAAAAAAACAAATAGCAAACACCGGCTCTTAGTGATGCGAAATCAAAATCGAGGCGCATCTGTGATATGTGATCATAGACACGTGTAGCCAAAACACGTCTCTGATATGTTGGCTCCTAGAAAATAGGTCTTTAAAAGACATAAATCACGGACGCAGATGTGTCACTAAAAGTCTGAAATGCGTCTGTAGTATAGGTTACTTACCCTTGGACGCGTAAACCAAATCCGCGTCCTTGGCTCAACACCACGGAGCCGAAAAAATAGTTCACTCCAACCAATTCTTGTGTACCCTAGGCTCTACTCAAATTAGCCTCATGGCTATTTCAAGTGTACGTTGAGATTCTTCTAGATCAATATTACTACCTAGTTCGCATGATTTTCCATAATATGTGTGTCGGTGACGGTACCAAGATATGCCTTCCTGTCACTAATATATGGCGTCAAGAACACTCTTAACATTATTTGTTAGTGAGTAGAGTCCTTGCAAAAAACAAATGTGTCAGTGACTAATGGGAGTATATGGACATTGTCTACTGCAGATCCTTGCATTTCTTATCCAATTAACTCATCCGTGATCGATGATCAATCCGGTAATTTTGCCCTTGATGACACCGTGTGAAATTTGAGACGTGCCAACTGCAGACGTCCGTGGGATTAAAAAAAAACTGCAGACGTCCGTGGAATGGAACTCGTTCCGTACCCGTGTGCCGTAAACCGTCGTGCGTGGCCCACGTAATTCGAAAACGGCCCACAGTTAGCTGCCGCCACAAAATAAAAAAGGATTCGATTCGATCGAAGCCCAAAGTTCGGATCCCCACCCAGGTCAGATCCGATCCGTTACGCTTGAGGCTTGACCCCGCCCGTTCCCTTCCTCCTCGTCGCCGCCTCGCCTCCCCTCGCCTCCCCTCCCCTCTCCTCCTCGTCGTAATCTCCGCTCCAGTCCCCACCGCCCGGAAGCCGAGCCCGCCACCGCATTCCAGCGGGCATCGAGGCCACGGCCAGCACTCACCTCGCTCCATGGTGGTGCAAGATACCTAACCCTACCTTATCCTCACCTCACAATGACCGCGGCGGCGGAGCGCCGAAAGCTCAGCGGCTACCTACGTGCCGTGGTGTCCATCCCCGGCGGGGACGTCGCGGCGGCGGCGTCGATCCCGCCGCTGTCCCCGTGCACTCTCTCCGCGTGCGGGGCCGTGGCCCTAGCGCCGCTCCCCGACGACGTGGGGACCCAGCCGCGGCGGCCCAGGTGGCGCGCGCCCGGCGTCGTGCGCCTGCTCAGGACGCTCGTGGCGAACCGCTGCGTGGAGGTGGAGGGCACGCTGCTGCGGGTCGTGACCAGGAGGGCCGGGGAAGGGAAAGGGGACGGCGCCGAGGTGGAGGCCAGGGCCGTCCTGCTGATCGACGTCTACTTGCCCGTCGCCGCGTGGTCCGGGTGGCAGTTCCCGCGCTCGCGCTCCGCTGCCGCCGCCGTCTTCAAGCATGTCAGGTGCGTCTCCTCCGTCTGTGTCTATCTGAGGGCGGGGCGTCATGTGCCCTGCATTGTGCACCCAAATTTTGGAGTTCTGACTGCGTAGGGGCTACTGATGTTTATATCATTTTTATTTACGGGGCTTATCAAGGTTACATGTCTCTTAAATTTAATTCTGGGTCCTTCTCGATTGTATTATATATGTTCCTTTCTGGGACTTTCTGTATAACGTAATTACTACTAACCAAGTGCCTGTCGGTTGCAAAGGATTTACTGATCTAGAGTTGCTGGCATATGTGTTTTCAAAGCTTTTCAAAACAACTAACAGTTGAAATCTGGAGAGCTGGTCCTAGGAAATCTGAATAAATAAAATTGCACCATTAAATGCTCACCTCTGAGGCTCTGAATATGAACAAACATGATAAAAGCATGAGCTTATACATGAGGTAACAATTGAATACTACTAACTAGTGGTCGACGTTCCTAGAATACAGGCATCTTCCTCACTAGATGACATGGTGACGATCCTGCATGTCCCTGTCCTCAGCAAAGGCAACAGCAGAAGTTAGGGATGCAAGGGCCATCGGCTGGTGAGACTGGGGGACGTTAGCAATTGAGATGAGGCCAGGAGGGCATGGGTTCTCAATGGATTAGGCCAGCTAGTATGTAGGACTTATTGTTTATTGTGTGTATAATCAGATGGAATATTCAGAGGGGAAAAACTTCAAATCATAATGTATCTGTCCTTTCAACCGTTTCAAGCATTCATGATATGCCTGAAACCTTGCAAAGGAAGGCTTTTGATTTAATACCCTGTTTCAGGAACGATGCTGGTTATTATTATTCTTTTTACTATTTGGAGTTTGGACTGCTATATTCACTTTCTGGTCTATTCCAACAACAAAAACAACAAAGCCTTTTAGTCCCAAGCAAGTTGGGGTAGGCTGAGGTGAAACCCAACACGAGCCATCACAGGTCAGGAAAAGAAAAGATAAGCAGTTTCTGGGGCATATGCCTGGGCAAAAATATTCTGGGACATTGGCTATGCTACACGTGTACGTGGGGGTGACCTCTTATCTGGTTATCCCGTATCGGACACGTTTCGCTGGATATGTATCCGCCGATTATTGGCAGGGAAATAAATATGAGATAATTCCATACGTGACCATACTTATCCACGCACCCAAGGAAATTCACTATCATGGAGGGAAGGAGGGGAGAGAGGAAGAGCAGGAGGAGAACGCAAGGCCTCACCTACCCTTGCTCCCATCCCCGTCAGCTCTGGTGGCACCTGTGGCATCACAGCTTTCTTCACCGTTCAACTGTATAGCTTGATCTAGAAGGGGGCAGCACCGGAACTCGATCCACATACAAGTAGACCTCTATATGGAAGGGGTGGCACCGGTGCCCAATTCGCTGCTCCGTCTCAGTGGAGTTGGGAAGGAGGAGGAGGCATCTAGTGAGGACGGTAGATTAGGGGTTGAGGAGAGAGGGGAGGGGGTTGCTTTATGGGCTATTGAGTTGATTGGGCTCTACTGAATTAGTGGGCTGGCTGCTAGTAGTATTGTGGCCTATTAGTGCTCGTACTTTCCTCGTATTCCCTATTGTGGATATACTCTCTTTTACATATGTCTGTGCCATACATTATTTATTTTCAATGATATATTAAAATGTATCAGCATATTAGAGTTTTTTTTTGGAACATTGGTGTATCTGTATCCATCTAATACCGATACACATATCCGTGCTACTACCTCCATTCTCATATATGTATGAAGCTGGTTAGTTCAATTTCCAAATTTCAACTAACCGGCATCAAACCAAAAAAAAAGGGAGGGAGTACATGGGATATTAGTAAGTTATTCCCAAGCATTATAATTTTTTTAATGGTACTTCCTGTCCCCTGATTCTTGAGATCTTGTAAATGGCTATTAGTTGCTTCCCTTCTGACTATGTGATGAGACCTTGTAAATTGTAATAGGTTCCACATGTTGTGGTGTTTCCACTACCTGATTTGTTAATGCCAGTACCTCTACCACAAATAGATATGCTATTTTTTCCATATGAAGTCCCTATTCAAATTTTCCATCCGGCCATGCATATTATGTGAATTTGAGCAAAACTGCAATTATAGAGTTTGTTAATTTTTTAATTCGTTATTTCCAAAAATGTAGTTTCAGAGACCTAAGATATGTCAATCCTGAGAGTTGGGCAATGCGACAACTATTCATTATGTCAGTAATATTTCCTGTGTTGTTGTCAACCTTCCTCTGAGTTTAACCCCCTTTTTTTGACTGGCAGTTGCAACTGGGATGCTAGGAAACGTTTGCTTGATTTTGACTGGACTTCTCATGACAATACACACTGTGATGACCGATCCATTTGGAGCTGCACCGATTGTCACGTGCTTGGTTGCGAGGACCATAAGATAGCATCAATATCAAATAAAGAGAAGTCATTTGACCTGCATGAAATCTTCAAGACGCTCCCTGGTGTTAGGATGGAGAAGAACATGCAGGTAGCAAGAATAATACCAGATGCAGGAGCACTGGAACTGGGTATTTGGTCTGTCCCTGACGATGTATTGCATAAAGTACTAATTCTACTTAAACCCAGAGATTTGATAAGAGTGGCAGCAACCTGTCATCATCTTAGGACTCTTGCTGCCTCTGTTATGCCTTGCATGAAGCTTAAGCTCTTCCCCCATCAAGAGGCTGCTGTCGAATGGATGTTGAAGAGAGAGCAGAACGTGCATGTCCTAGCACATCCTTTGTACAAGGAATTCTGCACTGAGGATGGTTTCCCATTCTACATAAATGTTATCTCTGCTGAAATATCTACCGGTGATGCTCCAACCATAAATGATTTCTGTGGAGGTATGTTTTGTGATGAACCTGGGTTAGGGAAGACAGTAACCACACTCTCTCTGATTCTGAAAACCCAAGGAACAATGGCGTACCCTCCACAAGGGGTGGATGTGAGTTGGTGCATGCATAAGCCAGATAAAAAATGTGGTTACTATGAATTAAGTGCCAGCTGCTCTTCTAATAGAAACAGCCCTTCGTCTGTGTCAAAAAAGCTTTTGGGGGAGGATGTGATAACAGATTATCAAAGTCCAGATGATTCTGTCTGCAGTACCAGATCTTCAAGAAAGAGAGGTAGGTTACTGAGCCCTGATCCAACTAAGGTAATGTTGCATGCTGCGATCGATAATTCCCCATCGTCATCACACAGCAAAGTGCATTCAATGCCAGCTACGCATACACTGAAGTTCACTAAAAACACGAGACAAGTTAGGAAAAACCTCATGGATGCATACAGCGACGTTTCAGTTGGCAATAAAAGGAAGATTGGCACCAGCTCTGAGCTAAGTGAGACCTGGGTTCAGTGTGATGCTTGCAGAAAGTGGCGAAGGTTATCCGATGGAACAAGTCTTGATTCTACCACAGTGTGGTTTTGCACTATGAACACTGATCCTACACGACAGAAATGCACTGCCCCGGAGGAATCCTGGGATTTTAAGAGAAAGATAACCTATTTGCCAGGATTTTACAAGAAAAATTCTTTGCCTGGAAATGAAGAAAACGTGACATTTTTCACAAACATATTGAAAGATAATGTTACTATGATCAATTCAGAAACCAAGAAGGCTTTGTTATGGTTAGCAAAACTTTCTCCCACAAAACTTCTTGAGATGGAATTTGTTGGTTTGACTCGACCAGTTCTAGATACACGTGCAACTACTGGCAAGGGTGCTCGTCCATATTACAAGATATTCCAAGCATTTGGCCTTGTGAGAAAGATTGAGAAAGGTGTGACTCGCTGGTACTATCCCTCTATGCTTGATGATTTATCTTTTGATTCGGCGGCACTTGGAGCTGCTCTTGAAAAACCTCTGGATTCAACTAGATTTTATTTATCTACAGCCACATTGATAGTGGTGCCTGCTAACTTAATTGATCACTGGACAACACAGATACAACGTCATGTGTCATTGGATACCCTTAATGTTTTTGTGTGGGGAGACCACAAGAAGCCATCTGCTCACAACCTTGCTTGGGACTATGACATTGTCATAACCACATTCAGCAGACTAAGTGCAGAATGGGGTCCAAAGAAGAGAAGCCCACTAAAGCAGATCCATTGGTTCAGGGTTATACTGGATGAAGGGCACACACTAGGTTCCAGCCTTGCCCTGACAAACAAGTTACAGATGGCTGTCGCTTTGGTTGCATCAAATAGGTGGATATTAACTGGTACACCTACACCAAATACACCAACTAGTCAGGTTGCTCATCTTCACCCCATGCTTAAGTTTCTTCATGATGAAACTTATGGTGAGAACTACCAGTCATGGGACTCAGGGATCCATAGGCCTTTTGAGGCACAAATGGAAGAGGGACGTGTTCGTCTTGTGCAGCTGCTTCAGAGGACTATGATTAGTGCAAGAAAAGCAGACCTGAAAAATATTCCTCCTTGCATAAAGAAGATAACCTACCTAGACTTCAATGAGGGGCATGCAAAAAGTTACAATGAACTGGTAGTTACTATACGCCGAAATATACTGATGGCTGATTGGAATGACCCTTCTCATGTAGAATCCCTTCTTAACCCCAAGCAGTGGAAATTCCGTGCTACTACTTTGAAGAATGTCCGTTTATCTTGCTGTGTTGCCGGGCACATCAAAGTAGCCGAGGCAGGTCAGGATATACAGGAAACAATGGATGAATTGGTGCAGCATGGCCTTGATCCTTCTTCAGATGAATATCAGTTGATAAGATATTCTCTTTTAAACGGTGCCAGTTGTGTCAGGTACAGGAGCTTTTGTAATAAGATCATATATGTATCAATCACAGTATTTCCATTATTCAAATATTCATATTGCTTTCAGGTGTAGAGTTTGGTGTCGCTTGCCTGTTATCACACCCTGTCGACATCTTTTGTGCCTTGACTGTGTAGCTCTTGATAGTGAAAAATGCACATTACCTGGTTGTGGTAATCATTATGAGATGCAGTCTCCTGAGACTCGTGCAAGGCCAGAAAATCCAAACCCAAAGTGGCCAGTGCCTAAGGATCTAATCGAGTTGCAGCCTTCATATAAGCAGGTCCGTGCTTGTGCTATATTGTCCATTTTTATCCACTTTGTGTGTGTGCTCTTGAAAATAAGTTTCTGTACTTTTGTAATTTTTAGGATGATTGGGATCCCGATTGGCAATCAACATCTAGCAGCAAAGTTGCTTATTTGATTGAGAAGCTAAGAAGTCTGCGAGAAACTGGGAATAACATAACCAATAGTGTTGGTCATGCTAATACACCATCTTATCAACCACAGGCAATGTTTGACAAAGTTATAATTTTTTCTCAGTTTCTAGAGCATATTCACGTGATTGAACAGCAGGTTAGTTTGAAATGCTTATACTCTTGATCTTTCTTTATAATTATATGAAATTAGTTGACGATTGATCTCCTTTCTGCTCAGCTGACTATTGCTGGAATAATATATGTGGGAATGTATAGTCCGATGCCTCTAGCTAGTAAGGTATCTCAATTGCTGATCTCTAAATTTCTGATCTCTACCACTCTAGTATCTCAATTGCCTCCTAGTTCCCACTACTCCTTCACATGTTACTCCGTCCATTCCAAATTATAAGACGTTTTGGCTTTTCTAGATACGTAGCTTTTGTTATGCACTTAGATATACACTGTCTAAAAGCAATGTTCAAGAAAAGCCAAAATGCCTTATAATTTGGAATGGAGTACAAAACTACCTTCCTAATTGGCAAAAATACAAGTAAACTCTCCTTGGCAAATATCTGAAACATATTTTAAGGTTTATCTCGATGTTGCTGCAATTCTTTGCAGAGAAGTGCACTAATGAAGTTCCAGGAGGACCCAACGTGTATGGCTTTAGTCATGGATGGAACTGCTGCACTGGGGCTTGATTTGAGTTTTGTGACTCATGTTTTTCTCATGGAACCAATATGGGATAGGAGGTAAATATAACTAAAATGCAGCTGCATTAGTTCCATTGTATTTACCAATCATTATGGTTCCATAGGGTAAATATAATGTGAAGTGTGAATTTATTGGCCAATGCTGTGCCCTTGTCATTTTGTCATACTTCTGAAAAGGATATTTGCTATCACTGTCATTATCATGTATCATCTGTAACTGACGCTTGCACTTTCTTTGTTCTGATCAGTATGGAGGAACAGGTTATTAGTCGGGCACATCGAATGGGGGCTACGCGTCCAATACATGTGGAAACTTTGGCTATGCGTGGTACTGTTGAAGAGCAAATGCTTAAGCTTCTGCAGGTTTGTGTGCATGACATGTTCATGACATTTTGATGCCAAATTATTGTCAAATTTTACATGTGGTTGAGTGCTTTATTTGTCTGCAGGATTCTAGCGCCTGCAGAAAAATAGTGAATAAAGGAACAGGCAGCACTGACAATGAAGGAGGCCGGTCTCATCGGAGCCTCCATGATTTTGCTGAAAGCAGCTATCTGTTGCAACTCAGCTTTGTGTAGACAGGATCTAAAGCAGCAGCCCATTTTGGTTGTTGGTAGCACTAACTAAATTCTTGATTTTTCTGTTTCTTCTTTGATCATTCCCTTTGCAATAGTAATAAAAATTGCTTGGAAGTCAGTTGGTTCTTGATTCCAAACAAGTGTTGATCGGGATTCTATCGTGTAAATAACTCCAATTCCTTTTGTTAAACGATGTGTTCCCAGTTCAAGAAGCCATGTTCCGAGCATTATCTGTGATGAAATCTCTATCAGCTGCGTCATATTAGCCAGAACTTCTGTGTCAGCTGCGAGACTTAGTTTTTAAACCGTGGAAGAACTTCTGTGTCAGCTGTCATATTAGCCGGAATTTGGACTCGAATCCTGCTCACAGCCGTGTGGACTCAAATTCTGCTCACGGCCGTGACTGAACTTATGATCGGTGTATCGCGCGTGTTGTTGTTTAGTACTCTAACCTTATGAACAATTTAAGTTGAAGCTAATGTCTAGAGTCTGGTTTAGCAGACACCTTGTTTTATACTTTCACACATCTACGGGTCCACCCCCATTTTGCTCTCGTCTGGTTAAGCCAATCAGTCGGGACTTCCTACTTCCAGTGTTAACCCCTCGAGACGTTTGCTTCAGATTTATGCATACAGAATCTCTGAGCTGCAGGTCTACTACAAACGTCAGAGACATCACCACTTAGCCCAGATTTGCCATTTGCATTTGCAATCATATCGGAAATTTTCCAAGACATTCTAAAATCGATGCTTGCTTATGCATTTACAAGATAGATTAGCGCCTGCTGCTACTAAGCATTTACATTACCTCTGCTCAAGCACTCTACTTTTCACACAAGGAGAAAAGAGAAGGGGGGTAAGAGTAAAGAATTATGTAAAACCGAAGATAAAAATTCCTTCCTGTTTTCCTGGGAGCGGAAACCACCTCTTTTCAAGGGGCTAGGTAAAATGGTAGCCACGTTAGCAACCCAGCTTGACTGACGAGAGAGCCTTCACGTAGGTAGGGTACATGGCCTCAGCTCCGCTTGTAATCAAGTATGTTTCTCCAGGTCAATCTAGTGTCAGTTAGCCGCAATGTCATTGTCGACACTGGCGGTTGATTTGTCAACCACGCGGACATTGTACTGCTGGTATACCCTCGCCCGGTTCTCCTGCCACCACTGTTCTGCTTGTGTCTCACTGAACCTCTTCCGGCTATATTTTAAGAAAAAAAGAAGAAATGACAAGTCACGAGCTGAACCACATGAGAATTCAACAGGAACACGATGTAATTTAAGTTGGACACTAGCAATAGAAGTTGCCTGCTGAGCAGGATTCAAATGCATCTACCTGAACCGAACCCGCTTGAGATCTCTGGCGCCTCCAGGCAACGCGGTGAGAGTAATGTAAACACCTGGTTCATCTTGCTCTACCCATTCAGCATCATGGCAAGATTCAGCATCAGGCGGCCTACTTCCATTCTTGCCTACTTCTTGATGGCTCGTCTTATTCCTAACAGAACTTGGTCCATTAGAAGCAAGCAATCCATTATGACCATTTATGATTTGTTCTCCAGAGCTGCTTGGGCTGCCCACACTCTCCGTAGCCATAGACGAAATGTCACTTGGAATGGAAATTCCAGGAAGAGGTGGCAACTTAGTGTTCTTGGCTGCTCCTCCAGGTAATCTCTCTGCCATCCCCTTCAACTGTTACATAAAGAATGGAGTTGGCCATCAGATGATAGCTGTCATAAGTGGCACGAGTTACAAAGCTCTTTTCCCCCTTTATTATTAGCCATTAGCCATGGACATACAGGGCCACATTTAAATGTGGAATCTTATAGCCAATAATTGATTTCGAAATTGTTCAAGCCTTCAATTTTCCATTAAAACAAACTGCTTTATTCAAGTTTCGTATCCTGGTTGTAACATACTAACATGGAGCTATTTAATATGGGATATACATCCTGGCTGAACGGTAAATTACATGTGGGCATAAAAAAAGAGACAAAATTGCAAGCCCATACAGTAAGCAGACTTTACCTGTGCAGTGAGTGACTTGATTACTTCCTTTGCTGCCTTGCACTTTGCAGTTTCCTCACCGGCAATGGAAATAGCTTCCTTCAATTGTTTGGTAGTTCTTTCCAGCTCCACTTCTAGGAGTTGAGACTTCCTGGTAAGACTCTCCACCTGTAAGTCAAGAGCTAACTACATGAGCAGCAAGTCCGCTCGTTCTGATGATACTTGGCTTTAAGGAAAAGGGAGGTTCAAATCTTGAAACTCCAAGGACAATATGTCTGCCATATTAGTATCAAGTAGGCAGGTAACAATCTGCTAAAATTTAATAAACTTCCATTCTCCATACTCTGTTACTCTTACAGAACAAAAGGGTATATATGTCTACAGTGCAAGGTTGCAGGGCGTAAAAAATGTGTAACCTATCTTTTAGAATTTAGAATCAAAAGTTCAGTATAACAACACAAAAAGCACTGCTCTCTATCGAGCCCGGTGTCAACTAAAACTCCACTAGATTTAAATTGTCAACTACTGAAAGCAAAATACAAATATCACCATATCAATCAAATAGCATTAAAAATGTGGAGCAAAATGTGTACCTGAGACCTCAAATTCAGAACCTCTTGGCTTAATGCATCATTTGTTGGCTTGCCATCGTTGGGAACAACTCTTGGAGATGTTAGGCCACCCAGAGTAGGTGTTGGTGTTGTAGATCGTGGAGGGCTTGCTCTTCTTGAAATAGGTGATGTTGCCCTAGAAACAATTCTAGATCCAGGAACTGATGCTGAGAAAAACTTCTTTGAAGATCCAAATACAGGATTGAAAGATCTTGAAATGTTTAGTCCACTCCAATGTGAACTCCCATTAGGCACAGGGGAAACACGGGTGCTATTAAATTCAAACTTCTTATTTTTCTTGGAATATCTGCTATCTAAATGCTTCAAAGATTCCATTGACGACAACCTTGATAGTTGAGCATTTGACCTTGTTTCCAGATCCTCCTCGATTGTATCACTGAATCCCGGTACAGTAGCAGCCCGCTTCGCTGAAGAATGCATATCTGTCTCAAGTCCCTTTGTCAGTTTGCTGTAGCAGGTATCGCAGACACGGTAAGGCTTGTTTGTATTAGGTGCTAATGAAGCCTTCAGAGATTTTTTACTGCTGCAGGAATGACAAAATACTAGAGCACAGTTGTAGCAATTATGACGTTTTCTCCTCAAGTTGAATGGCTGACGGCAACCTGAGCACATTGATTGATCAACTCCAGATACCCATTTGTGAATGCATATTGCCGCAGTGAAATTAATTCCACAAACAACACTTCTGACTTGCTTATCTTTCAGTGCTTCAACCAATGTAGGAGTATTCCTATCATCAGTATCGCCATGACCTAACCGGCCATTTGCACCTTTTCCCCATGTGTATACCTCAGTCCTAGAAGTCAATACAGCCACATGATAAGCACCACATGAAATCTCCTCCACAAAGTTTTTGTGTAGCTTCCCTTCAACACGCACAGGAAGCATACCATCAGCTTGTGCATTCCCAAGTTGACCATAGACAGCACTGCCCATTGTATACACATGCCCAGAAGTTGTTAGGGCTACTGTCAAGCAATGCCCACAAGCAACCTGACAAAAATTGGGCTCCACCAAAGCAGACACACAGGTTGGGACAAGTTTTGGTTCCTTGTCACCATGACCTAAGCGACCTTTATCACCATCACCCCATGTAAATATCTTACCAGAAGAACAATTGCTAGAACTTGAATTCCCAACCATGACTTCTACAACTGCAGCAGTGTGCCAAACACCACAAGCTGCCCGCACCGTGCGTAGCCCTTTGAGAGATTCAACTTCCCTGGGGACCGAGATACTCTCACGATCTCCATGGCCCAGAACCCCAAATGATCCATCACCAAATGTGAAAAGCTGTCCAGCAGAAGTTACTAGGGCTGTATGCCAAGGTCCACATGAAATTGATGAAACATGTATACCCTCTAATGGTCCATTCACGTGCTTTGGTACCCAGTGACTGACATCATTTCCATGACCCAAAAGCCCAAATTTAAATGTGCCATCCCCCCATGTGTAAAGATCTCCAGATAGTGTAACAGCACAAGTGTGGTATTCGCCACATGCTACAAGCTCAATGTTCATATGAGAAAGAGCATCAATAAGTTTTGGCTCTGACACATCACAATCAACACCATGACCAAGCCGTCCCCCTGATTCCTCACCCCATGAGTATATCTCACCTTGTTTAGTAACAAGTGCAGCATGCCTTCCTCCACAAGATATGTTCTGCACATCAAGTCGCACGGCAAATTCTAATGGTTTTGGTACAAGGCAGTCCATTTTTGCACCTGAGGAGCTTCCAACTCTTGAACCACCACCGCCAAGAATTCCTTCCCCGGTTCCTTCTCCCCATATGAAAACATCGCCTAAAGCATCACCATCATCATGACCAGAACCATGACTAGATGAACTAACGGCACTTGAATAACTGACTCGGAAAGCATCCATTGGGACGCCTCTGGGGTGCCCATTTGTGTTATCCGAGTGTCCAGAAGACATAGAATGGACTGATTCAGCATTAGAATCTGATGGAAAGAAACCCCTGGGAGGAACTGCATACAACATGACATCAGAAAATGCCTTCTCCAATCGATTCTTTGGTGGGCTCCCATATGGAGTACGGAGTCGGTAATTGTCACTGCCATCCTGATATAACACATCATTTTAAAAAATAAATGGCAATTATCACAAAAGAGGACATATAATGTAATGTGAAGGGAAGGAGAAATCATTAAAAGTAATTAAGAACACTAGCAATTTGACACAAAAAGATCTTTCCTTTCTAGCCTTTTGCACTCTAGTGTCATCAAATTTCTGGCAAGGCTTCCTGCTCTAATTGAACACATCAGTGAAAACAAGTGCTTCCACAATGATTTGAGTGGAGAAATTGATGATTAAACCCGCAACATGAAAACAGGATGGCTTCTAACTATGAAGAGCCTTCCCCGCACAATTAAGGGTTGAAAATTGAATGTTTTATTCTAGTCTTCTAGCCATCTAGGTAGGATTTTAATACAATGGAGACAGTAATACCTTGTGGATGCTGTCATTGCTGCTGAAAGGTGAACTCAAAGGAGAACTCCGTCGTGTGTAAGTCCTCGGACTAGTTGCACCAGAGGAAAGGATATCACTTCTAGATTCAGTTCTCCATTTTCTTTGGTGGCAACGTGAAATCAGTGTTTTCAGCCCAGCAAACCATACTTCAGCTTCATCTTTATCTTTGCATATCTGATATTAATGAACAAAACAAATCATGTCACCATGTGAATACAAAACTAAGAGTAAGAGGGGAGGGGTGTGTTGTAGCAACAGAGGCAACAAAGACAAAACATATAAAATATGAACCAGGGACAACTTACTATATCCAATGACCTATCATGTGAAATTAGAGAAAAAGACTGGCATTCCTTCTCAGGCCGTGGATACCTCTGAAAAATTGCCTGAATTATCCAAAAAAAGGGTCTAGTTAGTAAAGTCAGACAACCAAGTTCACCACAAATGGAAAATGGAAATACTTCTGAAGAAAACATATGGTTTTTGTTCATTAACAATGGAATTCAATTGTATCCTGACACGAATTCTAAACTCCTTAGTATAGGCATCAAAAGTAGCAAGACATATATACATATAGAAGAGTTGTTCTAGTTATTTTCAATTTCACAAAATTATTTATCCATGCTAACGTGAAAAATAAGCACTTTGGAAATGCTATTAAGTCCATCCATATGGGTTGGCAAGCAAACATCACCAGAAAATAAAGACATTTTTAATATGAAGCTTGTTGACCAAAGCAACTTATTATTAGCGAGAAATTGCTAGACAGGATATTCTTCTTGAAAATGAGTCTAGGCCTCCTAAGAACATTAACTTACAGTCCGTTGCCCAGGAATTATCCTGGATACATGGCTCAACCTTAGATGTTTCTCTTCTTTCCCTGAGAACCATATCAGTACAGATTCATCCTGAAGGAGTCAAAAAAGTATAAAATACACCATATAAGCCAAAGGATTGTGAAGGCACAGAAACACTGTTAAGTTGGAGAGTCCAAATAAGGCTCACATTGGATAACCTGAATGGACAAAACTTGGGCTTTCCTCTACGCCCATACTTCAGCAAGTATGCTCCTTTCTTGAGAGCAGTGATGGCCTGCAAAGAAGGATGCTGTCAAGCCTTAAATATCAACTTACCAAGTCATCAATATATGGGAAAAAAAACAAGCAACCAGGAGCATGCAACTTCCATACTTCACATTTTGAAGATATAAAACAGACCTGAGGTAAATCACTGGTTTTATAGTATTAATGAAATAATAATAATAATAATGGAACATAACACTAGACACGTACAAAGGCAAGTGCCATAAGATGCTAATGGTTCAATATACAATATGAAACATTTTTTTTACTACTTTTCCTTTGCTTTTTTACTACTTTTGCTTTGTTACTGATGCCATACAGCTCATTCTGCATATTGACCTTTTTCACTAAGCATCAGACTGATATGTGTGCCCTTCTTTTATGATTTCCTTTATTCACAACAAAGAATAAAACCAAAATAACCCCTATCACACTAGTCTAGTTCTAGTGGTGAGTGCAACTACAGCCACTAATAAGCTTGCTGATTTGATAAGAATATATCAATGATTGTGATATTTTCAGTTAATGCATGACCTTTTCCTGTATTGCCTTTGTTTTACTACTTTGTATTATTAGCATCTTGTCAGATGCACTTGGAAGGAAGCTTATGAAGCATCTCACTATAAAACTGAAACAGGGTTTTGATCAGTGCCCCCAGCAGCTCTTATGTTGCACATTATCTGGTATGACAAATGCGGTCCCTTAATAGCAAAAAAAGTGAAATGCATTATTGAGTACGAACAAATGAAAATGTCATTTTATCGCTTGTCAGAATAATCAGTTGAAGCATGCTGGTTGTATTCAAGTATCCTAATCCAGCCTTATCTTCACTCTCTGTCTAATAAGTTTGCCACAAACAGAATGTTGGACATATATTGTACATAAAGAAAAAAACAAATCATTCATCGCTTGATTCCAAAGCCCCCCACACTGCAACACCCTCCTTGGTGCCAAAAATAGGAGTATAGGACTACAGTAGTAGAATCAGCTTAAACTGTCCATTTGTGTGTATGGTCGGACATGCCTCTCAAAACTCACAGGAGTTGGAATCCACAAAACCACAAAGCCACAGCAACCATCCCCAAACAATTCTTCACAAATCCACGAAACCCAATGCGACATCCGTCAAATCCCGCTCGACTTCAGTGCCATGTAGCAGCTACAACAGAATGGGCAAGCACAGCACCAAGGCCAACACAGCGAGAGGAAAAGGCACGAGCATGCAAGTGAAAGAACTAAACTATCAACTAAAGGTCCTTGCTCCCAGAATGAATCTTATGTTCACCAAAGCATCCACTGATGACTGATCCCCTCAGCTCCAGAAAACAGGGAATGAGAAGCATAATAGTCCTAGCTTGACCTCCAAACACTTGAATCAGTGGTTGGACGCCCAATAAGTCAACCACCTTCCTAGCTACCGGAATTTCAGCAGAGGGAGGGGAACAGCTACCTGGAATATCCAATCTGAGCTTCATTGTAGCACAGAAGAAGAAGAAAACAGCAAACTACAGCAACAACGCCCATGAATTCCGCCGGAATCAGGCACCATTTCACGTCTGCGCACAAAGAGCGCGAGCTGGCCTGAAGTTCCGCGCCACGTGGGCGGAGAGCACGTAGGCGATAGACGATGATCTGTCCATCCATACCACAATTGCACCCGCAGTAGAACCTGGGACGCGCAGTAAAACCAGGGACGGGGGGAGGGGAAATCTATCCGCGACACGCAGAAGGAGAGCACGTAAGCGGTAGGCGATAGATGATGATCTACCCATCCACATCTCAGTTGCACCCGCAGTAGAACCAGGGACGGGGGGAGGGGAAATAGATCCACCCAGAGAAGGGTTAGCAGCACGCACCTGCTCGATGTCACGCTCCACGGGCCCCGCCCGGATGCCGCCGAGATCCGACGAGACGTCCGACATGGCAGCGGCCTCCGCATCAGCCCCGGCGCCGGCAACGCCCCATGACGGCCAGGCGCGCGCGGACCTCCGGCCTCGCTCCCCGCGCCCTGCTGCCGCGTGCGTGGGAGGCGGCGCGGCGCAATGGGGGGCTCGCTCGCCGGCGCGGGTCCAGGTGGGCAGGGCAGCTCGCGTGCGCGCGGGGCGACGAGCTCGGAGCGCGCCGCGGGGCCGCGGGAGACCGGATCGGAGCGCGGCGACGGCGGAGGCAAGAGGAGGCGGCGGGGGCGAGGGGTTTGGAAGTGCGGGGAGGTGGGAGGGGCAGGGGAGGGGAGAGAGATGGCGACGCGGAGGAGTCAGGGGAGAGGGAGAGGAGAGAGAGAGGGAGGAGCTGTGGAGGGAGGGGAATGGAGCTTTTTACCTTTTTTTCTGTGTTTATTTTATAATTTTTTTATTTTTCCTGTTATTACTGGATACTGCTTCAGTCCCAGAAGGACGTAAATCTCTTTTTTTTAATTAAATTTAAATTTGCTCTATCTCTAAATAAATTAACCTCTAAAATTATCCTAAGTTACCTTTTTAAAGTTCATCGGTTTCTATAAAAGAGTATTCATATATATGGCAGAGAAACATAATATGTAATTATATCTAATGTTGTACTATATGTCGAATTATAAGTCATTTTGTCTTGTCAAGATAAATAGTTTTATTATGCATCTATATACTTTCTCTGTTCTAAATTATAAGACGTTTTGGCTTTTCTAGATTCACGTTTTTTTTGCTATGTATCTAGATATAAATTATGTCTTAGATTAGAAATGCCAAAATGTATAATAATTTGAAATAGAGGGAGTACTACGTTGTGTCTAGATATATGGTATGAGTTATGTACCTAGACTACTAGAGTAGAAAAGCCACGACGACTTATATTTTAGAACGAAGGGAGTATCTAGCTTACTGATTTGCTATCACAAATATTATTTTGCTAATGTGATCAAGCTTTTCAATAAAAACAAGGAAAGCTCTATAAGTTGATTCACTTAGGACGAGAGGAGTAAAAAAAACCCAATATTTATGATATAGACTAATCTTGAAATGTAATTCTACAATAAATTTACTTGAAGATACATATCTTGATATGATTTTTTTTACAAAACTCGTGAATCTTGATTAATGTACTTCTTAAATATCAAGATTTTATAATTTTTTGTGGAAGAAAGTATTTTGTTTTAGTCAGTCCCTTAGAGCATCTTTAATGTTTCCGATATTTGAAATTATAAGTCGTTTTAGCTTTTATAGATACATGGTTTTTTCTATGTACCTAGACATAATATATATTTAGATGCATAAGAAAAGCTACGTACCTAAAAGAGACAGAATCACTTACACGTTGAAATATGAAATGGAAGGAGTAGTTTACAGAACTCACTCTCCATCTTAGTATTTTTAGGCATGAAAAAGATTGACTCGTCGCATCCTTGTGGTGAGACTAATTTTTTTTATATAATTAGAAGCCAGATTTTGGAAATGGTGGAAGAAGCCTAACAAATACTGTATGGTACCAACTTTGTTTACTTGGAAGATTTATTGATTTATTTATTTTTAAACTACTGGAGATGCTCTTTTTTATATCATGAGTCATGACGATGCTGATATCCACGGACCACGGCCTGGCTTTCCGCGCTGCGATGCGGTGTCACTCGTTGGTTGTGGGAACTGGGAACGGGAGAAAGCTCTCTGCGTGGCTCGGCTCTCTCGCGACTCCTCTGATCCTCTCCCCACGGCCGTCGTCGGTGGGGTCGTACTCTGCGCGGCCGGCGACGTGACAGGCAGCGGCGGTAAACAACCAAAGCATCCCAACCATTCCATTCCTGTGGTAGCGGTACGCCGCCTCGTACCACTCACTCCACTCGCTGCCTGCCCTGCCCCGCCCGTGCATCCGCGGACCAGTCGTTCGACAGCACGTGCCGCGTGCTTGTGCTCACCGTGCTCCCTTTCTTTCTGTTGGAGTTGGAGACTTGGGGTGGAGTACGTAGAATTCCACGGTGGGCCGGCTACCGCTGACACCCACCTCTTCTCAGCTACTCCTCCTACATACACAGCAGTCCTACTGATGCAGTGCGAGTGTCGTATTCGGGTAGTAAGTGTTATTATAGCAACCGCTGCAAACATCGTTATCGGGCTCGCAACTGAACTCGCCAAACTTTGCGACCGCCTCGTCGTCGAGTGGAGGGAACATATAAATACTAAACACTAGCGTAGACCCTTGTCGTGATCAGTATCACCACCCGGGCCCCGATCGATGTGCACACAGATATATTTATAAAAAGGAGCATATCTCTAATGAAGCCGTCTCTCCGTCACAGAAATGCGAAGCCATGCTGCGGGGGAGATGTGGGGAGGATTTGCAAAAGTGTAATTACGCCCGCTCCTAATTACACTTTTGCAAATCCCCCCTCCCACCTCTCCCCCGCATGATTTGCATTCTGTATTCATTTATAGACGATTGCACTTTTCTACATTGCCTTATAAAAATACTCCATATCTATATAAAAAAAACTAATTAACGTGCAGATACAATGAGTGTGCATGCATCGTCATCGAGATCAATTCAACTGTACAACATGTCCTGTCTCTTCTTCTCTCCTACTAATAAATAAAGTAAGCTCAGCCTAGAACTAGAACCGGCCGCGGTACTGTCAGTTCAGCTAGACGATCCGATCGATCTGGTTGTCCAATCCAGCCTTTGTTTAGATTAGGTGAGAAACAACGTGCTGCTAGTCGCTAGAGGATAGCACAGCGCTAGTAGATGCGAGCTAGAGCCTGAACCAGATCGGTCGAGGGTGACGGAGCGAGATCTGAGTGGGAATGAATCCTGTCGCGTGGATTGTCGTAATCGACGGACCCTCGTTCCAGCCACGGATGGACAACTGGGCAGCTTAAGGCTGGCACGGGCTCGTCGACTGGCTGACTCACTGATGATGGCCAATTGGGCATCACTAAATTTAGAGCCCCTAGATTTTTAATATTAGAAGGCGTAATGAAGCATGCATGCAGGAGAATGAGATAGCTAAGCAGCACCACATGCGGAGACCAGCCCGTAATTAAGCAACAATGGCACGGACTGGGGATCGCTGCCGTGCCGCGGCAAAAGTGGCCACGGAGAAGAGAAAGAAAGGAACAAGGGACCCGCACGCACGCACGCGCCCGATTGGAGCTGTGGAGGCCGCCGGGGCAGCACTGTTGCGGTGCTCTGCTCTGCTCTGCCTTTTTCGCGTTGGTGTTGCAGTTGCAGGACGTGGACGGCAGCCACTGTGCGCCTTTTAATGTCTCGGCGTGTTCGGCTGCTTAAGTTCCAGCTTAGTTCAGCTTATTCTCTCTTACAGAACACTATTGAATTATCCGAAATAATCTAAAATCTACTGTGCAACCCACGCACCGGATGGATCGGCCCGCCGTGGATCACTTGTTGGATTTCCGATAATTGTATCGCCCGGCCAGCCGGCCAAACACATCCAGCAAAGCAAGGCGAGGCGAGGGAGCCGACCCGGCAACGACCAGGGTCACGTTTGGCTTGGCGTGTACTACTACTGTAGGAGGAGTACTCTCGCAGTGGCCAGGGTCGTTAGTCGGCCTGTTCGCTTGGTCGTAAACGATCATAAATTTTCAGCCAGAACAATATTTTTCTCTTGCACCAAATCAGCCAGCAGTACTTTTTCACGATCCAGCAATGAATAAGCCTAGACAAACGAACAGGCCGAGTGTCAGTGGTGAGTGGTGACACTGACGACCTCGGCCGGGCATGCAGGCGGGCGTGGTTTGTCGGCACGCGCGACAGGCCAGCCTACGCGAAGGGTCTTGTCGACCGGGGCAGGTGGCAGAGAGTGGATTCGGTGGTGGTCCTGCTGCTGGTGGGAGTACAGTCAGCACGACGGGCGGCGTTGTCTGCCAACGAAGACGAAGAACCAGCAGCCACAGCCATCCAGCACCACCAGGTCGACTCGACGAGTGCGAAGCGCAATGCGACGCCGCCGTCTCATGTGGTGTGGTGGCAGGCGCGTGCCTCGGCGGGCGGGAGTACCCCTACCCCGCACCGCACCGCACGCACTCGTGCGCTGCTGCCGGTTCGCCGTACGATCTGCTCCGCCGGGCGTGCGGCGTGAAGCCCAAGGCGCGCGGCGATGGCTCGCTGGAGAATCTCCCTTTTTCAGCCCCGCCGGCGTTGCCAATTTGCCAACGCGACGCCCGTGCCCGTGCCCGTGCCCGCTGCCCCATCGTTGCACAGACACAGGCGACGTGTCAGCAGGACGCTATCCCCTCCACGCCGGGCCATGCACACAGGCACACAGCACAGCTGCGCCTAATTTTCTATGACTAGCTAGCTAGGGTACCTTAAAAAAGCGAGCTGGGCTACCCAATCCATCATCGCTCTTCCCATCGGGAATGCCACCGCGCTAGGTCGTCGTCGTCGTCGTCGTCTCTCGTCTGGTCCGGTCGTCGTGCGGTGCGCCCCACGGATCCCGCAGGCTGCTTCTGCCAGGAGCCCAGGAGGCCAGGACCAAGGAACCCGGCCGGCCGGCCGGCTCCACCTCCACGAGGCCATGTGCTGGCGTCATGGAAGAAGCAAAGATTTGATTGCCTAAGCGATTACTTCAGCCCTTGTTTAGTTGCACCCAAAAATCCAAAAAGTTGCTACAGTACCTGTCACATCGAATGTTTGCGGCCCGTGCATGGAGCATTAAATATAGACGAAAAGAAAAACTAATTGCACAGTTTGGTGGGAAATTGCGAGACGAACGTTTTAAGCCTAATTAGTCAATGTTTGGACACTATTTGTCAAATAAAAACGAATGTGCTACAGTAGCCCCAAAATCCAAATTTCGCGAACTAGTGTCTATTACGTTGGGAGGGACACCGATGGGGCTCGCCATCCATAGTCCATAGCCATAAAGTTAACCTGTTGGCGCCCGCCACCTCCCGCTCCCACGTGACATGAAGAGAGAAGATGATGGTCATGTACGACT